AAGTCCATTTAAAAAAAAAAAAAGTTAATGGTAAGCTTAGTAAGATATAGAAACCTTCTTTCCATTTTTAAAATCATACATTCGCTGGAGTACGATTTTTTTAAAATGGAATAAGTCCATTCCTAATAATTATAAGTAAAGCAACTTCTTTATTGATTATTACAGCTTCAGTGCATTGCGCTTTACAGTATTATAATTCTGGTAATAAGACCCAGAATAACCTATGGATGTGGAAAAGATATTGGGACTAATCCCCCTACATCACATGGTAAAAAGGACTGCACAAAAAACCATAATTAACTTCATTAGAGAGAAACCTCCAACAGGAATAAAACTGAAATGGAGAGACAGAAACAAACTGTGGAAAAACCATCCATCACTCATGGCTCCAAGAGATGACATGAACAGGAGGTTTGAATTTAACCATAAATTCCTAATACATCTGGGCACCAAAAAGGAATGGGATAGAGAGGGAAATAACTCCCTCAAAAATGGCACCATCCTTTGGTACACAGATGGATGTAGAACGCAGGAAGGTACGGGGGCAGGAGTGTTCGGACCCGGAACCAAATACTCAGAACCCATGGGAAAGCACACCAGTATCTTCCAAGCTGAGATTCACGCAATTGAAAGATGTATCCAATTCAATCTAAATAGAGGATACAAAAACAAGAATATAGCTATCATGTCAGATAGCCAAGCAGCCATCAAAGCACTAAGCTCAAATACCATTAGTTCAAGGATGGTGCTGAACTGCAAAACCAAACTAAACATATTAGGTACGCAGAATAAAGTCAGCCTCTGCTGGGTCCCAGGACACATGGGAGTAGAAGGCAACGAGAAAGCGGACACCCTTGCAAGGAAAGGGGCTGCCACACCGCTGATAGGACCCGAACCCTTCTGTGGCATAGGAATCCACACTATTAACGAATATCTCAGACAGAAGGACAAAAAGAAAATGAGCGAACTTTGGAATTCACTTATTGGACATAGACAATCCAAGAATCTTCTAACCAATTTTGGCAAGAAAGAAATCACAGAATGTGTCAAAGGAAGCAGGAATAGACTGCGAATCCTAACAGGATTCCTGACAGGACACTGTAGATTAAATGGACATCTAAAGAAAATTGGAATAATCCAAGATGGCACATGTAGATTCTGCAAAGAAGCAGAAGAGACACCAACACACTTACTAACAAACTGCGGAGCTACACTAGCCCGCAGGAGGAAGTGTGTTGGGATGTACAATGTGACCATAGAAGAACTACAACCGCTGAAACCGGGCCTATTAATCAAGTTTCTTGATGAAATAGGACTCACCGATGTGCTTTAGGCAGAGCACAGGGGATACAATAGCTCTTAAAGGGCGCAGTATACCATTCCCTGAAATATTATATCTATCTATCTATCTAACCTATGGATCACTAATCTGGTGGAACAAAGCTCAACAAAAAGTAGCTACCCAAACATTAGGCAGCATACAAAGACTAGCAAACCTATGTATCACAAGGGCAATGAGAACAACCCCTACAAATGCATTAGAAACTCTGCTAAACCTACCTCCATTGGAAATATTCAGACAAGGAGAGGCTAGGAAAAGCTCACTTAGGCTCCAGAAACAATTAAATTGGAAAGGAACTAAACAATCGGGCATACAACCATAATCAACATAATCAGACACCCAATCTTAGAAATGGGGACTGTCTATATGATCACGGAAACATTCTTTACAACATCCTATAAAATCTCAATGGACTATAAAGGAGAGGAAGAAAACAGGAGTGCATCAGATACAATGATATGGTACACAGATGGCTCCAAAACAAACGAAGGAACCGGATCAGGCGTTTTCTGTACAAGCCCAAACATGAGCAATCTAACTCATTAGGGAAGTATACTGCGGCCTTTCAAGCAGAAATACATGCCATCAATGCTTGTGCCCTGGAAAATCTTAAAAGAGGTTACACTGACAAAAAAATCCTCGTAAGATCTGATAGCCAAGCAGCCATTAAAGCATTAGCATGTAAAAGAATCAAAATTAGTCAGTGAATGTATCCATCTCCAAAACCTGGGGAAACACAGCAACCTGATGATATCTTGGGTGCCTGGCCGGAGGGGAAGGGAATTTTGGGTAATGACAAAGCAGACAGTCTGGCCAGAGGAGGATTATTATGCATTATTATGCACCTAATATAACCTATATTATGCAAATATTAAATAGGACCTTGTTGTATATCTATTATGACAATATTTATTATGTATTCATGATCAAGTATACAAATAATTAATTCACTATTCGTGGTCCATTGACCAATCAATACATGACAATTAATTAAGGTTTTTAGTTGAGATGAAAAAAAGTTAATGGCACGAGAGGGATTCGAACCCACGACCTTCGGCTAGATATGCCGCTGCTCTACCACTTGAGCTATCGTGACCTCGATCCACTCNAAGGGGAGTTGATGTCCGAGTGGATCAAGGTCACGATAGCTCAGGTGGTAGAGCAGCGGCGTATCTAGCCGAAGATCGTGGGTTCGAATCCCTCTCGTGCCATTAACTTTTCTTCATCTCAACTAAAAACCTTAATTAATTGTCATATACAAATAATGTGTGGTGTTTAGTGACTGTTAGTTAATGATTATTTGAAGATTTGGAGATGCAGTCTGGTGTGATGTAGGTATTAGAAAAACATTTTCTTTGTCTTCTTTAAGGGCCTGAGATTTATAAGCATTGTTCAAATTTAACAAATACATGTAGAATGTGGAAAAAAATGAATTTATACAATGCTAGAAATTTTAGATTCAATCAAAGTATTTGTACTCACTCAAAGTGTTTGTTTTCTGTGTAGATGTGTCATTCTTGTGTGTTGTGTTGAGAGTTTGATTGAATCTAAAATTTCTAGCATTGTATGTTTAAAGATATTTATTTTATTTATTGCTATCTGTACATAATATACATTGAGGAAATAGTTAGTTATAAACAAATCTGACAGACCTGGGGAGAGAAACCAATTTTTATTTAATTGGGGGGGGGGGAGTTAAAGTTAATTTGGTGGGTTAGAGAGAAGGTCACGAGGCCATCGTCGTTTTAAACGGCGTGGAGGATTGTAAGGGTGAGATGTTGAGGAAAGAATTGGGGCTAGTGAGTTAGGGTGGAGGGAGAGTGAAAAGTGAAGAAGCGTGTTCGGATAAGATCTCTCACGAAAGGGATTTTAAGATCTTTATGGATCGTTTGATTTGTGACATAGAATGGAGCATTTAGGATACGGCGGAGAACTTTAGATTGAAAAGACTGAATTCGTTGGATATTGGATGATTTAGCCGAACCCCACAGCTCGACTCCGTAGGTCCAAATAGGTCTGATGAGTGTTTTGTAACCGGTTAATTTGTTATTTATGCTGATTGATTTTGGTCCAAGAAGGTGTCTGAGTAGTCCATATCTTTTGTTAAGTTCTTGCGGTTTTAATCGTGTATGTGGGTTCCATGTAAGTCTACTATCTAAGTAAAACCCAAGGTAGCGGACTTTGTTCTATGGTGGTATTATTTTGTTGTAAATGTGCACTGGTGGACAGGTTTTGTCATTTGAGCGTAAATGTAACTTGTTAGCTTTTTTGTTCGTTTAACCTGATCCGCCACAGATTGCACCAGTTGGTAATAAGGTTCAGGTGTTGTTGGAGTGCTTCTGTTGCTAGGATAGGATTGGAGTATGTTGATAAGATTGTGGTGTCGTTCGCGTAGGTTGTGATTTGTGTGTTTGGATGTTTGGGTATGTCAGCAGTGTAGATGGTATAGAGGAGTGGGCCTAGGATACTTCCTTGTGGAACATCAGCTTTGATTGGTGTGATAGGTGCAAAATTGGTGCTGATTCTTACTTTAAACCATCGATCTGAGAGGAAGGATTTCACGATAAGGTAGTAGGAATGAGGGAGGGTAGATATATAACTACCCTTAACTTATAGAAGAGGCCGGGGTGCCAAACTCAATAAGTTACGCCAAATGCTTCCAGAAATACGGCTGAGCAGTATTGTTTGTTTTCTAGAGCCGAAGATATCGTGTCGACTACTCTGAAGCACTGCTGAACAGTGGAATGGAGAGGTCGAAACCCAAATTGATGGTTAGGAATTACGTTTTCAGAGTCGAATATAGGAATTAGTCTTTTAAGGTGGATACGTTCAAAGATTTTGGATAAAATAGAAAGGAGGCTTATTGGTCTATAAGTGGATAGGGCACTGGGGGATTTGTGTGGTTTTGGTATTGGAGTTATTAAAGATAGTTTCCACTGGATAGGGAAGTAGGTTGTGCGAAATATTGCATTGTAAATAGATGTAATGTAAACTATTGCTTTTTTGGGTAAATTTCGGAAGATTTTAGGGGTAATTAGATCATGGCCTGGGGATTTTCTTTAGGAAAGGCGGAGAATCTGAAGCATTGTATAAATTCATTTTTTTCCACATGCTACATGTATTTGTATAATTTAAACAATGTTTATAAAGATAAAATAAAGATTGAAACGTTGGCACGATTAAGAAAATGTTTTTCTAAAACCTACGTCATACCAGACCAAATCTCACAATCTCCAAATAATTGTACAAATAATATTATCAGAATAAAGACAGTACCAGTAGTGTATGAATATCTGGTTTGGTTTTCATAACTTTTTCCCTCTAGGTTGGATTTCAATGTTGTGAAAGCTTTTTTTTCAGCATGACAGTGCTTTTCATGGTAGATTCATAAGGGAGGAACATTTAAAAAATTTAAGTTGTTCACCTGAACTTCATTTCTTGAAATTAGATCATTATAGGCTCTCAAGTCAGTTTATGATTGATAGGATTAATCAAACGCTGAACGATTTAATCCCAAATAGCTAAATAGTAGTATGTCTTTTCAAAATTTATATGTAATTAAAAAAAAAAAAATGAAATCACTATTAAACTTTTTTAAAATTACTTTTTGGTTAAAAAATTGTACTTTTTCATTTGAATACATTTTTTTTATGTTCAGGCCTTGGAGTTGGACGTGGTATGACTACAGTAGACGAGTTGTCTTTAAGCCCGGCTTCAGATTGCAATTCGAACAATGTTGATGCAAGCTACGCGAGTACAACATCAGACGCTGAATTCATCCAAGACAATTATTGCGATTATCAGTGGTAAGTGTTCATTTGTCGAGTAGTTTTTTAAACTTTCACTGCAGATGAAGGATAAATAGGCCAGTAATAATTGTGATGTGTGGGTCACTTCGGGTTGGTACAAGGCCAAATACAGAATCAGGGGACAAGGCCAAATACAGTTAGCATATCTATTTCATAATAAATTTCTAATATTTATATGTTGTATTTATACAGCATTATTATTTGTTTGTATAATATTAATTTTTATTTGAACACAAAATTTATAATTTAAATGAAATTCGTTTGGTTTGATGGTTTCAGTTTTTTAAAATAGTTAAGTAATAATTATTTAATATTATTGTATTTTTTGCTCTTTAATAAATAGTTAATTTCAACGGTTCATTCCCCCTTCCTTATACCCTTGACAGCTATCTTTATCTTTGAAGAATGTTGTTATAAGATTACATTCTTTAACAAACATCATAATTAGAATGGAAGAAAGTGAACAATTATAAATTTAATTAACTTTCGCACAAAACCTTTATGTATTATTTTTGTTTAATATATGTTATATTTTGTCAATACTAGGTTTCCCGACTGTGGATATCGGGAAATTCACCACCGTAGTGTTTTGTCTTCCTGCTACGATGAAATGGCCCGCGATTTGGACTCACAACTTGCCCAGGTCGATATGGAAGACTATTCAGCGCAGGATATTTTATCCACGTTTCCTGCAATGTGCTGCGGCGAGATGCCGGTCAGTTTCATACTCGGCATTGTTTAAATTCAGTTGAAATAACTCATATTTTGTACATTTTAGGGTGAAAGACAAGGTGAAATGTATGCAAGTGTTTCCGGATCACTTATGGTCAAGTTTGAATTTGATTCATCGATCAGCCCACATACTAGCTCTCAAGTGAGTAACACCTCAATTAACAAAAAAAAGTCTATTTATCTCAATTAATTTATAATTTAATCGACATTGTTCCATTTTTGTAGGATGAATCTTCTATGTCACTCGGCCAGTCGGAGCCGTTGTTTTCCCCCGTAAAAGAAGCTCCTCTGTTTCCTACAAATTACAGTGTTGATTCCTTGGATTGCGAGGATCAGGATCACCTCATCGTCACTTGTCAAGCGAATAAACACAACTATACGATAGCTTTCCATGGGTCAACAGTTATGGAGGATTCCAAGTCTGAATTAACTGAAGGAGGTAGTTTGCTTTTCAATTTGAAATATTACTACACTAACGGAGTTCAAACTAATAAATTATTATTCAGAAATCGTGAGATGTGGTTTGGTTGGTATTTCTGAATAATTATCGATTAACGGTCACTAATCACCACACACTAATAAATTGTTTTTCAAATATTGCTGTTTTTCTTCATAATTTGATCAGATTAAACAAAATAATATTAACGATAATAATATTTAAGCAAAATTTTAAAATGATTTCCTCATATGGAGAACATGTTAGATAAATAAATAAATGCAAGTTTTCAGTTTGTGGATAACAGAATGATGATGGTATGTATATATACTCATTATTAATTTTTTTTGGAAGGAGAATATCTAACTAACAAGGCCCTTATTTAATTAAGGAAGAAGAATGTCTTGCCAGGGAATTATTATTTTTCCATCTTTAGTCAATAATCTTTACAAAATGGTCAATATATCATTTTTTACTGATAAATTATGCCCATATTTATAAAATCTTATTATTCCATCATCCCCAAAGACTTTATCACAAAATGCCTTCACATAATTAAATCAAATACTTGTCCCTCTAACATTAATTTTCTAATAAATGGATTATTATCTCAGCACAATCTGTTAAATTTTTATCACTTTTTGCCTTATTGCTATGATGTCATTTTCATTTTTTCAATTGTTAGTTAATTATAGCCTCATTAAATTCACTAGATTTCATGGTCCGCTTGACCAATTAATAGCATTCAATTAATTAAGGTTTTTAGTTGAGATAAAAAAGTCAGTGTTATGATCGGGATTCGAGCCCACGACCTTCGGCTTGATACGCCGCTACTCTACCACTTGAGCTAGCGTGACTTCGATCCACTCGAGCACTAACTTCCCATCTCAACCCCACCTTTTGAATTTTCCCTCCTTTTTCCATTTTTCAAATGTCGTGTAATCAGGATTCAATTCTCAGCAACAAATGAAATGGCCACAGAGAGCTTTAGTGAAGTATACTTCATTTTAACTCATTAAATGCACTAGTTTTCGTGGTCCGCTTGACCAATTAATATCATTTAATTAATTAAGGTTTTTAGTTGAGATAAAAAAGTTATCACGAGCGGGATTCGAACCCACGACCATCAGCTAGATACACCGCTACTCTACCACTTGAGCTATTGTGACTTTGTTCTACTTGGGCACTAACTTCCCATCTCAACCCCACCTTTTGAATTTTCCTTCCTTTTTGCCATTTTTCAAATGGCTTGATACGCCCAAGGTCGTGGGTTGGAATCCCGCTCATGACACTGACTTTTTTATCTCAACTAAAAACCTTAATTAATTGAATGTTAATTATAGCTTTAACGTTAAGAAAATCTTTTTTGCCTTGTTTCCTTTTTTTTTATCTATTTATTTTTATTTAATTTATGATTGCATAAAAATAAAAAATGTGAACGTAGACATCAATCTGCCACTGCTAAGGACTGCTAATTAACTCGCATTTTCTTATTCTGGAAATTGAAAAGCATTCAGCTGCAGAAATGTAGTTTAGTTAGTTCAGAGAGTGTTGAGCTAAATTAAAACTGAAAGTGTTCATAATGTAAGTAATAACTAACTAAAACTTTATTGAAAATAAACACCAGGTTATTGGGTTGTCCGGAAAATAATGCAGGTTTATGGTTATAAAATAAAAATAATTCAATAAATTATTTTTAACATTTTTTATTAATTTAATACCCTCCATCACTCAATACATTTCTTCCAATGTGATGGCAACTTCTTTACTTTGAATAAAATTTGGAGTCTTTATTATTAACTAATTTTGTAAACACATTTTCTAACAACTTTTGATCAGTAAATATGTTATGGTGTAAAACGCTGTCCAGGTGTCTGAAAAAATAACAGTCAGTAGGCAAGAGGTCTGGAGAATAGGGAGGGTGAGGCAGGACCTCACAACCAAGATACAACATTTTTGTGTTGTCACATGCGTGGGGCCGAACATTGTCGTGTAACAGAATCGGCCTTTTCCAATTGACCAAAGCTTGCTTCAATATGCCAAATTCTTATGCATTGCTTCAATTTGAGAGCTATATATATTTTGGCATGGATTGTTTAGCCAGGATTCAAGAGGCTGCATTAATCAGCCCAAATGAAGCCCACCAAAGCCCATCACCATTTTTGATTAGTTTAGTGCTTTGGAAAATGTAGTGCAGATTCTCCTTTGCCGAACCACTGTCCAGAATGTCTGCTATTATCATAGAGAAGCCAATTTTCATCACTAGTAACAATTCTATCCAGAAATGTTTCATTTCTGATTCGGCAAAGAAGATCGTGCATACTCATAACGATGAATTTTTTGGTGGTCGTTTAATGCACAAGAAAATTAAAGGTTTTTTCCATTTTTTCACTGTTCGTTTGTTAACTGAAAGATTCTATGCATATTCTTGAACAGTTATTCTGGGATTTTCTTCAACCAAAGCTCGCAGAACATCTTAGGGTAAAAAATCCTTCCACGACCTTCTTTTCTTCTTGGCCAAAATCTCCCTCTCAAATTTAAGCCATCTCTGAACACTCATTCACACTGCCATCGCCCCAGGCATCATGAATGTTTCTGGCAGTTTAGGCACCGTTCCAGTCATGTTTAAACTTGTAAAGCGAAATTACACAAAAATCACGCGCTGGCATCTTAGTAAAGATTTTTTTTTTTTTTTTTTTTTTTTTTTTTTTTTTTTTTTTTTTTTTTTTTTTTTTTTAAGGAAGAGGATTAAATAATGTAGGCATTCATACAAAATAATACATACATCAAACATAAACAGTTTATTATAGAGGGGTAATTGAAAGCAAACATGGAAATTTGCATTATTTTATGGACAGCCCAATATTTACTGAAAAACCGTACATTCAGTTGTCATTTTTCTTGAGAAAATGTAAAACAATTTTCTAGCTCAGTGATTCCCAAACTGTGCGTTGTGACTATGCTTCAAGGGCGCCGTGAATCTGTAAAAAATATTATTTATATATTTATTAAAAAAATCCTGAAAACTAAGTCCTCTTTATAAAACCCTAAAAACTAAGACCTGGTGGCCATCCAATCTCAATACGGGTGTTAACGAGACAGCTGCATTTGTGTATTTTATATTATTGCCAAAAAAAATCAATTTTACATTTTTGCAATTAAGTGCATAATCACTTTTCAAAAGGCAAGTTATTTATTAAATAAAATTGCCGACAAAATATGAGGTTTAGATATGCCAATGCTTTTCTGAAGTGGAAATGAATTACTACTATTATCATAAAGTTCACGCTGAGATAGACCATTGTTTTGACTTGGTGCGCCGCAGCAAAATTGTGATATATTAAGGATGTCAGAAACAGAAAAAGTTTGGGAACTGCTGATCTAGCTGTAAGATAATATTTGATTTATCCTGAAAGTGCGGCTTAATTCACATAGTTAGCAATTTATTTTCCATTTGTCAAATTTTCTTGCTTTTAATTGAGACAAAAACTTTTACTGTTAGAATTATTTGTTTAAAAATTAAAGTTTGAGCAATAATTTATGAATTAATAGTTTCTTACTGCACGGAATTATTTTTTAAAAAAGGTCATTAAATAAAACACATTTTGTAGCAGACTTGGAAAATGATACAAAAAAACCGTTTAAAATGGCTGCATCCGATGCACCGACCACTACTTGGAGTAAATTGAGAAAAATTCCTCCAAGGCATAGGACTCGTAGTAAAACTGTTAGTTTACCTGACCTAGCTCCCCCTAACAAGCTTTCTACTTCGTTTGCCTTAGGTAATACTAACCAGCTTCTTATTATTCTAAGATTTGAACATGTTAAATCATATTTTGATGTTTTTGTCTAGGTCAAAAAATGAAACTCTACGATATACAAAATAGCAGTTCGGCAACATCAGAGAGTTTTAGCGGTAGCGGTGACAATAGTGGAAATACTCATAAACAAGGGAATTTCAGCTTGCTCCGAATGTTCATAGCACAAAGAAACAACATGGAACAAGCGAACGACAATGCTCACAGGTAAAACTGTTAAAAAAATAAAAAGACAAACAAAAATACTATTTTCTTACTTTCTAGAACAACACGAAACAACAAACACGTGAGAAATTCAAACGAACTCGGCTCGATGACAGACACGGCTTGGCTAGAAGAAGACCTATCGGCTTGTTACGAAGACAGTCTAGTCAGAGATAACAGCGCCGACGAGCCAGAAAGTTCTAGCGTAGAAAGGCTCTCTTCAAAATCTATTTCCATCTGCAGTTGCAGCTTGTCAACTTCTCTCAATAAGTAAGTTCTTATACTTTAATTTAGATTTTAATGTCTCAAAATTTGTTAAAACTGTACAAAATAGAAACTTTTTTGCAATCCATTCTTATATTTGTTTTAAAGATATGATTTGAAGTTAATTGTTAATTAATTATTAAAGTTTGTTCATTTTTCCATATAAATACATGAATAAAACTCTATGATAAATAATATTAATATTTTTGTATCATTATGTTTCAGATTCAATGTTAATAATAATAATAGTTTCGAGAGAGAACCGAAAAGACATAATGTGAAAGTAGGAACAAGTGGATCAGAATTGAGTGACCCGACGAGTAGTTCGGAGCAAACAGGGACTGTTAAAGTGGTGGCGACTGAGAGGAAGTGTCCTATTCATTGCGTTGATAGAAGCATGCAAACATCGACCCTTCAGACAATTCACAATCTGAATCACAAGGAACAAGATGTAAGCATCTGCCTAATCACAACTTTTTCAAGTTATAAAGGTATATTTTTATTATTATTATTTTTTTTAAATAGAAAAAGTCAGAGGATAAAAAACCTGTGTATATACTCTATCCGAACTACACGCTACCAGATTTAGGCTTCCTTAGAAAGAACAGTTTGGACCTGGACAGAGTTCTTTTAACTCCGCTTAAATACTCGGGCGGCAACACGCCCCAAACCCCACCTGCTTCTCATGCCCCTTATAGGACAGTTACGAGACAGGATGTAGAAATGCTACGGAAAAAAGGCTTGTCGCATGTCATGGATTTGACCAGCTTAACGCCCCTCTTGCCAAGCGAATACTGGTCTGTACTCACAGAACTGCCTCAGATCAAACAGCATTCGGGCCATAGATTTGAAAACACCAGGCCAATTTTCTGCATGACGCCTACGCAGAATAAAGAATATCCACCGTTCCCAGATGGTAATTTTGTTTTTATATTTAACATTTTGGCAGTCTGTTTACTATTTTCATTCAATTCTCTTTTTGTTTTTTAAGGTAAAACAAATGTCAACTCGTCAGGTTGCAGTACTGGTACTGCTCCGTCTTCAGGTTACAGAGGATCATCGACATTGCTAAATGAATCAGGTGGAAATGGGAATCCTCTTTATGTATACAATTACGGGAGTGAAGAGAAACTTAAAGGAAAAAAGAAAACTAGTGACATTCTTGAAAATAAAAGGTAAAAACGTCAAGTAGGAAAATTCTCTTTATTGTGATGACTCATTCTTAATTATTCCCTAAGGTACAGCATGTTTGAATTTGATGGTGTTGAAGAGGAATACAATGAGATCGATGAGAAAGGAAAGAAGCGCAAATCTTTCCCTGATAACCATACAGGTCTAAAGGTAAGAAAAATAAAAACTATCCATGCTTTTTGATGTGAAATACTGAAGTTTAAAGTAGAGTGTACATATGGTAATGTGCAATTAAGAGCTCCATTATGAACCCACGATTTGAGATTCCCCTTACTACATGCATTTCACCGCATGGATTATCAAGTAACTAATCAGTTTCTTCAGATAGAAACGTGTTTTACCAGAGAATATTCTTTTTTTTTAATCTTCACAATGGAAATGTACCTTGTTGACACTGATCTCCTGATCGACAAAAGTGGAAAAAAGACCTGCATTGTGGATCGCAGAGTGTAGCGATTTTTATATTTATTACAGCTCCTTCATATCTATCATAACCCTCACAAATTACTATAGCTCATCAACCACCGCGCTCTTCACATTCTAGTAATTTAAGCGGGGAACACACCCAATGCATCGCTACGCGACATGCCCCGATTCGATGCAAAGCCTTATCTCATTCTGTTCTATGTGAAGGACACGCCATGTACAGTCACACAGCACATATCACAAATCAGTATCGCAATCACAACCTCTTTAATTCTTAAAGCAGGGAACACACTTGCCAAATGCAACGCTAGCCGATGCTACCCGACGCCTTGTCACATTTGGTAGGGTGTGCACATCTATGCGAGGTCATGCGCACACCATGTACAGTCACACAGCATGTATCACAAATCAGTATTGCAATCACAACACCTTTTTTATTCTTAAAGCGGGGAACAAACTTACCCAATGCAACACTACCCAATGCTACCCGACGCCTTGTCACATTTTGGTAGGGTGTGCACATCTATGGGAGGTCATGCGCACAGCAAGTCCAGTAACACAGTGTGTATCACAAATCAGTATCACAATCACAATGACTCTTTTGTTCTTACAGCAGGGAACACACTTACCAAATGCAATGCTAGCCAATGCTATCTGACGTCTGATCTAGTTTCAGTTGGGTGGCACATCTATGCAATGTGAAGTGCACGCCATGTATAATCACACAGCATGTATCACAAATCAGTAGCGCAATCACAACACTTCATTTGTTCTTAAAGCGAGGAACGCACTTACCAAATGCAACGCTACCCGATTCTACCCGACGCCTTACCTCGTTTTGGTTGGGTGGCACATCTATACGATGTCAAGCGCACGCAATGTAGGGTCACACAGCGTGAATCACAAATCAGTATCACAATCACAACACCTCTTTTGTTCTTAAAGCAGGGAACACACCAAATGCAACGCTACTCGATGCTACCCGACGCCTAATCTTGTTTTGGTTGGGTGGCACATCTATGCAATGTGAAATGCACGCCATGTATAATCACACAGCATGTATCACAAATCAGTATTGCAATCACAATGACGGTTTTGTTCTTAAAGCGAGGAACGCACTTACCAAATGCAATGCTACCCGACGCCTAATCTCATTTTGGTTGGGTGGCACATCTATGTGATGTCAAGCGCACACCGTGTACAGTCACACAGCGTGTATCACAAATCAGTATCGCAATCACAACGCCTTTTTATTCTTAATGCATTATTCTGTGCAAAAAAACCATGTAATAAATTGTTACTTAAATTTTATGAGCACAACCATGTAATAAATTGTTAGTTAAATTAATTATATCAAAAAACGGAATTCCGATCAATTTTCTACCAAACTATTAAAATTAATTTTTTTAATAATCTAGGTTAATTTGGTTTATATCAAAATAAGTATGTTGTAATTTATATAATGACCATAATACATATCGTTTGAAATAAAATTATGAGTGTCCAGTTCTTTTGTTTTCGACTGCACTGGATGCTACCCGACGAAAATCTGGACAGTGGGGATCGCGTAGCATAGAGTAGAGTAGCGTTGTGTGGCGGCATCGGGCAGATGTGCATGGGTAATACATACAATCTTATGGAATTGGGCATTGGATTTGCATCGGGTGCCTTCGGGTCATGTTCGGTAGCCTTGCATCGGGTAAGTGTGTTCCTCGCTTTAGAGGAAATTTTACTGTCAAGCAATTCAGCATCACAGCTAATACACAAGTTCTGGAGCCTTTTTAAACTTGTCTAATGTTTGGAGGGTTTAACTTGCTCTCCAATGTGTGTTTTAAAAAATTGATGCACTCTTGTTCTGCAGTGTCAACATTATCGATATTTTATGTAAAGTTTTTCTTCTGGCTGAATGTAATCCCTCACACACTGAGATGTTGATGTAATAAGACCCTTAATCAATTGCAAAAAATCGTCAAGAGTTACTAATAAAATAATTCAAAATTTTGGTTAATAATCACATAATTTTGGGTAAAGAGCCATACTATTTATGAATCTATCTCTTAAAATAGGATGGTCTGAATATTTCTTTTGTCTTGGTCTTTTTAGTTTATAGCGGTGATAGAGATACCACAGACAAAGATTTTGAATATCATTGTAAAATTGCTCTCGTCCAAGCACTCCATGTGTTTGTCACAAGCGCCCGTTAATGCGTGATTCAGCATTCCATGTGTACTAAGCCTTTGACTTCACTATAGAAAGAAATGATTGTTTAACAGGATAACCCGGAAAAAGACATCTGGGAAGATTGGTGGAAAGATTCAAAACATAGGCCGCATTCCCCACCTTCAGCGCATGCACAGCGGTTGGATCAGCTTATAGAAATAAGTGGACACGAACAATGGCAGCCACATGACATCCACACTCTACGGGACCAAGTAAGATTTCTTGGAAATTTTTTTTATAGATGCCAAGTATTGATTTGTGAGTCGGTGTATTCATGCTGAATGTCTCGTTACGCTATTTTCTAGTCCCTAATATTGAAGTGTAACCCCACACAAGACACCATTGTTAGTTTGGCTACGCACTTGAATCAAACTGACTTTTATTCACCATAAAATGCACAACAGTAATATTAAGCGACGGCCTCGCGAAACTACATGGATGACCACGCTACCGCACAGATAAAGGAATGAATCACTCACTTTCTACCGGCCCGCACACATTTTTTTCTGGATTTGGTATTCCTATTCAAGCTCTGATTCCCTTCAAACTCTGAAATGGACTAAGATACCAAGTCAGACTGTCTTCTTACCAGCCCTCGAATTCCTATGGAGTCCTAGAAGTCTGGAAGATCCATGTCAGTGTCTTATCTGCTTCCCCTCTTTGTCAATTTGTTTCCTATAATTTGCGAGGCCCGTCGCTTAACATGGGGTGTAGAGATGTTGGACATTGGAGTCCCGCTCGTGACACTAATTTTTCATCTTAACCACACTGTATATAAAAATTATAAATCAGTTTAAATCATTACTGCGGCTAATTACGACCAACTAATAAATATATGGATTTAATATTTATATCATTTTTTAGGTAAGCAAATTTTTATGTGAAGTCGGGAGAAAATGTGTCAGTTTTGCTGATAAAAACGAGCAGCAGTGTACTCCTCCCAATTCTCCCACATATCAAAAATATCAGGTGATAATTATTTAAATTCCTTCGTCTCATTGCATTTTTCACTAATCCGTTTAATTATTTTTGCATAGGGAAAGCAGCCAGGTCTTGGCGATCTTCATCTCCATTCAGATAGCACTTGCAGAAGTGGTACAACTGAAAACAAAAAAGGTTAAATTTAATATACCAAAATTATTTTTAAAAAACATTTACTTATTTATTTTTTTATATACAGCTTTAATTGATGGTGTGGTTGAAGCGGTCGATAAAATTATAAATTACGGCGAAGAAAATAACTCCCAGCTAGTGTTAGATACACTGTGCCCCACGCTGTACGCTCTTTTGAGTGATGGGCTTAAATACCAGCTTGAAACACCGTTCGGACCAATCGGGAATTCAGTTTGGCAAGTAGTCGAAGCATCGGCGCAGCAAGGTATGTTCATTTTTCAATGTTTTCAACGGTGATACATAAAACGTTTAATTGCTCGTTTCAAAGGACCGATGACAAGAGCTCTTCACGAATTGGTTATGAAGCTTAACAGTGAAGATATACTTTCAGAGGGTCTGGTCAAATTCAACGCCTTCATATTTGGACTTCTCAAGTATGTTGGAGTCTTTACAGATCTATTAAAATGAAACAACATAATTATTATATAATTGAATTTAATTAATAGTGTTAGAGGCATGGATGCATGGATTTCATACATTAGAACGAGGGAGAGCATTTTAAGCAAGCATTATGTAGAAGACAGTATTTTATTGGCCGCATCAAAAGGCCATGCCATCTCAAGGGGTCTTTCAGATCAACTCATCGCCACTTTAAAACCTCTCGCACAGTATAACTTTTCACTCGATTTGCTATATGAAACCAGACAGTTGCATGAAAGTCTATTGCAACTTGCGGTAAGTACTTATTGTTTACTTAAGGTGAACAAAGGTTCAACGTATTAATTCAAACGTATTTGTTTAAAGCGGGTACCCATATCTCCGAGTCAGAATATTGAGCTTACAACTGATTCGATACTTTTGAAAAGAATCGTTCAGTCGATTCGGAGCGGTTTGGGGAATTTCAGCAGCGGCGAACAATCACAGACATCAGGTGAGTGTTCCAAAAGATTTATATTTTTTCAAACAGTAATGAGAAATCATTAAAAAAATCTTTGTTAATTAGTAAATTTATTTCATCCAATTCCAACAATAATTACTCATACCGTTACTGTAATATCAAAAAAGTGATGATTGAAAAAATTCATAGAAATAACATAAAAGGTCACCAATTAACTTAAACAGAAATTAATTAAGGTTTTTAGTTGAGATAAAAAAGTCAATGGCATGAGTGGTATTCGAACCCACGATCTTCGGCTAGATACGCCGCTGCTCTACCACTTGAGCTATCGTGACCTCGATCCACTCGGACACTAACTTCCCATCTCAACCCCACCTTTTGAATTTTCCCTCTTTTTTATCTCAACTAAAAACCTTAATTAATTGTAATATATAAATTGGTCAAGCGGACCACAAAATTAATGAATTTAAACAGAAATCTAAATCAGCATCTAGACAGCTTTAGTATTTACTTTTGGTGGCTGTATAGATAGAAAATATAGATTGACATAGGTAAGTTGTGTCAAATGGAAGAACACATTTTGCTTTTTCAATGAGCGGTTGAAATTTTTTTTCCACTCGGAGTCAACAATGAGGTTAATTATTGAACTTCTTGAAAGTAGATTTCAAGGTGGAATCTGAAGTCATGCTTATCAAACTTTTGTATTCATTTGAAAATAGACTGGTTGCCTTTGTCGAAATTGAAAACGTCATGGGGCACAATGTATCTAAAGCCGGGTCCAGACGAGTGTAATGTAACACGTAACGTAACGCGTAATGCAAGGCGAATTCTTTGTGTGGACGCTACTACGAGCATTACATGTAATGCTCGCCCAACCGTTCGACCGGATCCATCGGGGTGTCGGTTTTTTGTGCGAACACAAAGGTGCTCGCAGTTCTCGTTTGGACGGCGTTCGTGGCAGTTGTGTAGTGTGGACGTTCATGATGTGGAGTGACGAACAGTCGCTTGAACTTATTGGTTTATACCATGTTCGTAGCAACTGAGTGGAACAGCCCCCTCTTCAAGATTCGCGTTAAATGATTCGCGTTGAGTTCGTTTGCCGTCCATACTGTTCACTCTAAATTACACGTAATCTTGCATTACACGTTACACCCGTCTGGACCCGCCTTAAGATTTCTCGATGAGGTCTGATGAACATTAGTTTTGTCACAACCAAACTTTTGGTCTGTCCTTGCTGGATTGGTCTATTGCCAGATGCATTTTGGCATTTTGCCATTTTCATTGTCAATCGAGTATGTCTGCAAGATGATATTGGGTTATTCTGTTTTCACCAGATCCTGGAACGCCTCTACCAGGCCAACCCAGTAGGCAAACAAAAATGATCGATAATGTCCAAATTATAGGTCCAACACCCTGCAGACTATATAGAGAAATTTCATAGTAAAACTTTGGTAATTTGACAGATTAACATAACTTAGTTGGAAGACCCAATAATGACTATTTCTCTGAAGGATTTCTCTTTGTTTCTGGATGGTTAGGAAGTTGTCCTCTTCGAGCTAAAATCCTCTTACGGGTATCATTGCTGGACATCCTGACTCCTGACTGGTACTTTCTGCCTTTCCTCAAACACTGGCCCGAACCCTTCCGCCCTTATTAGTCGTCTTCTTCTCTCAACCAGCCTTGATTGCCTCAGCTCCATGTACTTCATTTCTTAAAAGTGTCCAAAACCAACTTACCTTCTTTATTTATTTGACAACGTGGTTAGGTCCCTAGAATGCCTCTCCGCTCTCCAGTATCAAACAGGAAGTACAACACATAATAATGGGAGGACCAATGATGCACCTAAAACTAAATTAAAGGAAAACAGTGTTTTGTTTGAAAAAAAAAAAAAAAATCTGCATATGTACTATGAAAGCGATAAAAGTTACTTTTATGATAAAGATTTTAAAATGTGTTGGCCATTTTTTTCAATGAAGATGAAATTATTTTTTAGTTTAGTTAGATATGCACACATAGAAAAGTCTGAATGCTAGGAAATTGTAAGCCTCTTTTATTTAATCTAAACTCTGTCAAAATCTATTCTTATTAATAGAGAGCACTGAAATTCTTTTAATTGAGTCTCCTTGTTTAGGATGAATTTTATTTTATCTTATTGTACCTCTAATAAAACAAATCGATTCGTTTTAGAATCAAAATCGTCTCGACCGAGGTCCTGCGTTGACACAGTGGGCGGGGGTGATTGCGCTAACACAGCGAGAAAACGGTGGAGTGGAGTGCAAGTGGGTTCACGGCTTGCGAATGCTTTTGAGAAGCTTCAGACTGATGAAGATTTCCCCGATAGGTACAACAAAAAAACACAATTTAAAAAAATATATATTTATAATTTGTTAATTATTTTTTGTTTTGTTTTTGTAGTCTGGAAACCGGGGGAAAATCTAGTAGTGAGGAAACTAGTGAGAAAGAAATTGTAAAAGACGACGATAAAGTCAGGGGTGGTAAATTTAGAAGTTTGCAAAGAAAGTGGGAATTGCTTTCTGGAAAAGATACTACATCTTCCGATCTCAGCCCAATGAAGACAAAGTATTTATTTACAATTATTTTTAAAAAAGTAGATAATATAACATATTATTTTTCTTTGCTTTTAGTACATCTAGGTCTCGAATACCCAGGCCTGTGACATCCCCGGTCAGGCCTCAGTCTTCAAAATTGCCTACTCTAGTCAGCAATCAGCAAAGGCGAATACCCACTCCATTGACGTGTGCTAGGTAAAAATTAAAATTACATTTCTTTTGAAGAGGGTACAGTTCATTTTGTGTCTCCGACAGGCCTAGGGTAGACAGCGGACGAGCAGCCAATAAAATACAGAGGCCGAGCAGAGTGGATTCTACCCAGGAAAAGGTGATCACATCCCGGCCTAGCAGCCTGCCCTACAGACCTCCAGGAAATAGTACAAAGGTACAAAGAAGAGCCGCTTCTTCTTCTACAGTAAGGAAGTCAGATCGACCAGCGGGGACTAGGTCAGTACATATATAGTATGTCTTGTATTCTTTCCCTACTATTATTATATATGAGGTGAATAACTCAAATTTTTTCGACAGATAATTCCACGATATAAAATTCAACATAATGTTTGTGATATACACATTACCGTACAGAAAAAACTGTGAGTTTGATGTATGGACAAAATTTTAAATTTTTGTTTGCCTTTTCCAAGCAGACCTTTATTTTTATACAACTAAAGCCTAATAACATGGTTTGTTTGCTATTGAATTAACCTAATAATTTGGAAAAAAAAAAACTAATAATATTTGTTGATGTACCTAAATTGCTAGTAACCCTCGACAACAGTCAGTTCAAGTAAGAGATTCCTGTACAAACTTAATGAAAATTAAAGATGTTTACAAAATAGCAGAGCTTTTGAAGGGCTGCAAGCTAATCATGATCACACTACTATAGGACTGAAGCCCAACAAAATAAAAATGAATAAGAAAGCGGATAGCGGCTGGAAGTGGGTGCCTACTTCAGCGGTTATAATAAGGCTTGATGATTTTTTTCTTAGAGAATAGCATTAATTCTTTAATAGTACAGGACTGGGCTAGGCCACACCATAGCTTGTGAGTCAAACTTGATAAGTCAATTTAAAATAAATATGATTGAGGGTTAATATATTTATTGTGTTATATGAAATAGATTTCCAAATAATTTTTATTTATACAAACTTACTAATAAAAATACCTATTTATTGTGGCATTAACATACTTCCCAATACGAAAGGAATAGCATGCATACCCATACTACTGATTAGTTTAAATTATTAACAACTATACACTGAAATGAGTTGTAACCCATAGTTCAACAGTTTTCCTCTAAAAATTAATATGCAGCTTCTTCAATTTTCTTTCAGTTTTACATGAATATATATGTGTTTGTGTGTGCATACAGAATATGGAGAGAGAAAGAGAGAGTGAGGGAAGTGAGAAAAAGAGAGAGAGAGAGAGTGAGTGATAAAGGCAGTGTATCAGAGCAAGAGAGGCGATGTGGGAGAGTGAGTTATAAAGGCAGTGTATCAGAGCAAGAGAGGCGATGTGGGAGAGTGAGTGAGGCAGTGTGCGAAGGTAGAAACACAAGAAGCGGTGTGCGAGAGTGAGTGAGGTGATGTGCGAGAGCAAAAGAAGCGGTGCAAGAAAAGCGTAGTGTGAGAGTGAATGAGGGGGTGGGCGAGAGCGAATGAGGCGGTGTGCGAATGCACGAGCGAGTGAGGGGGTGTGCGAGAGAGTAAGAACCAGTGCGAGAAAGGCACGGTGCGAGAGCGAGAGCGAAAGAAGCAGTGCGAGAAAGGCATGGTGCGAGAATGAAGTGGTGTGCGAGAGCGAAAAAACCAGTGCGAGAAAGGCACGGTGCGAGAGAGAGGGAAGTAGTGTGCGAGAATGAGAGAAGCGGTGCGAGAAAGGCACGGACCGGGAAAGAGTGCTGCAGTGTACGAGAGTGAGTGAGGTGGTGTGCGATATTGAAAGAACCAGTGCGAGAAAGGCACGGTGCGAGAGCGAGGGAAGCGGTGTGCGATAATGAGGTAGTGTGCGAGAGCGAAAGAACCAGTGCGACAGCGAGGGAAGTGGTGTGCGATAATGAGGTGGTGTGCGAGAAGAAAAGAAGCAGTGCGAGAGCGAAAGAACCAGTGCGAGAAAGGCACGGTGCAAGAGCAAGAGAAGCGATGCGTGAGAATGAGGGTTTGCGGAGCGAAAGAACCAGTGCGAGAGCAATGGAAGTGGTGTGCGGGAGGGAAAGAACCAGTGCGAGAGTGAAACCAGTGCGAGAAAGGCACGGTGCGAGAGCGAGGGAAGCGGTGTGCGAGAGCGAAAGAACCAGTGCTAGAGTGAGAGAAGCGGTATGCGAGAATGAGATGATGTGCGTAGTGAAAGAACCAGTGTGAGAAAGTCACGGTGCGAGAGCGAGGGAAGTGGTGTGCGATAATGAGGTGGTGTGCGGAGCGAAAGAACCAGTGCGAGAGTGAGAGAAGCGGTGTGCGAGAATGAGGTGGTGTGCGATTATGAGGTGGTGTGCGAGAGGAAAAGAAGCAGTGCGAGAGCGAAAGAACCAGTGCGAGAAAGGCACGGTGCAAGAGCAAGAGAAGCGATGCGTGAGAATGAGGGTTTGCGGAGCGAAAGAACCAGTGCGAGAGCAATGGAAGTGGTGTGCGGGAGGGAAAGAACCAGTGCGAGAGTGAAACCAGTGCGAGAAAGGCACGGTGCGAGAGCGAGGGAAGCGGTGTGCGAGAGCGAAAGAACCAGTGCTAGAGTGAGAGAAGCGGTATGCGAGAATGAGATGATGTGCGTAGTGAAAGAACCAGTGTGAGAAAGGCATGGTGCGAGAGCGAGAGAAGCGATGAGCGAGAATGAGGGTGTGCGGAGCGACAGAACCTGTGCGAGAGCAATGGAAGTGGTGTGCGGGAGGAAAAGAACCAGTGCGAGAAAGGCACGGTGCGAGAGCGAGAGAAGCGATGCGCGAGAATGAGGTGATGTGCGATTGCGTGAGGAAAATGAGAAGTGTGCGAGGGCGAGAGAGGCACTGTATGGCAGCGATTTTTTTTATCGTTCCATAATTGAGCAGTATTGTCTTGCTTTCATTTTTCATTGGTTGTTGTTAATTTTAAAAATAATATTTTATTCTAGTTGAAATATGCATTATTTCAACCTAATATATATATTAAATTCTCATTTGGAACCAGTAACCGATCTTAGGCAATATATTTGTTTCCCTGTTTTGTTAACGTGATGTACAATATATATAATTTTTTCTTCCAATTTTGCAGGCATGTGGTTACCTTAACTCACAGACTACCGTCAGACAGTGGGCACCTGGCTTTTAATGAAGGGGAGCGATTAAGACTGGTTCTCGAAGTAGATGATGTTTGGCTGCTGTGCTGTAGGGGTGACCAAAAAGGCCTAGTCCCACGGTCTGCCGTTATATAGCATCCATTCTATTTGTAAGTTTGATTTTCCGTCTTTTGATCAAGCAAGATAAACAAACAAGGGTAATTATCATGTAATTTATAAATTTAGTAAACGGGGGTAAACAAACATCCCCTGGATATTTGAGAACCTGTTTTTAACAGCTCCTTACGTTTTATAAGTTGGAATTTGGTTTCGCGTTAAGGTTAAATTTCATTTTTTTTCACTGTTCATATGATATCAGTACCCTTGCAGTAGTCCTTGTAGAAATAGAGCCACTCTTAATTATAAACATTTCTGTAAATAATAACGGCCATTCCAGTGATCGACTATAATACTTAGTGCATAGTTGAATAATACGATACAATTAACAATATGTCATTACATTGTTGAATTGTCATTTTGTGCCAGAAGCGTACTTAGTTAACCAAAGATAAATATTATTAAATGCTTATGTTTTAGTCCCTTGCAAGTGATAAAATTGATCTTTTGTTAATTTTAATTTAAAAAATTATTAAAACTAGTCATATTTTGTTAATATATGAATAATTTTTTTTTACATTTTGCTTTCCCTTTGTTTTTCTTTTTTCTTGTTTTAGTTGAGCTTACTTATGGTGCTTGTAGATTAATAAATTGAAACAAAATATATTGATATGTTATTTTGGCAATTTTGACATTTTAATTTGATTGTTAATTATGTACAGTTTCTACCCTAATTAATTTTTTGATTAGGCTTTTTTTTGTCATATGTGTATTTGTTGTTATATTTTTAAGAAAATGCTTTGTATATATTATTTGTGTTTATTCAAATATGTGTGTTACCATTTAGTTTGTAAATTTAAAAACATACATGGACATTTTTATGTTTGTTTACATATCTTTTATATTAGAATTATATTGTACGTAATAAAAATCTTCATATCCTTAGATTATAATAAATAATTTTCATTAAAAAAAACTTTTTTGTTAAGAATAGCACGATATTAATTGTGATATTTATTTTTTATTATGAATATAGTGGCATTTTGTATGATGGATCTGACCATATATTATTTTTTGTCTATTTACAATATCTACACTTAGCCGATATGAATATTTTTGTTTAATTGTAAATGTTAAGATAGCAGCTTGGATATTGTTGGAAAAAGATGATATTTTTCTAAAGATATTAATTTTACTCCTCTCTGAAAGCATTAAATATTGAAAGAAAGTACAATTAAAATAATTATGAGTATAAAATTACGTTTTGTGTGGTTTCGCCTTTTCCCAACATAGTAAAGTTTAGTCGTCCTTGTCATTTGTAAAATTAGGTCGAAACTCAACTTACCTATTAGTGTCAGACAATTTTCTCATGATAAAATCAAAGATATATTTATAATTATTTGTAATAATTTGATTACTTTGTTGTAATTAAATTGTTCGTAATAATAAAATTTCAGTTTGTAGTTATAATAGGTAGTTATAGTTTTGTTTCATTAGGATTAAGATAAATGCGAAAAAAAAAACGAAAAGTCGATTGAAAAATTTCGAAAAATGAATCTTACTGATAGTAATAAACGTCCGAAAGCTTCCTTGATGCAAGATCGTACATATATCATTGCTTACCTGTTTTCTTTTTGTTTTTTCCTAATCGGTATCGATAACGAGTACCATTAGGGAGCTAGCAGTGCCTAAGCGTATTTATTCCGGTTGGTTTAAAAGATTTATGGTTACACCGGATAGGCCAAGAAGGGAGGCTATTTAAGATTGTTCGAAGATACTGAAACGAAAGAAAAAGAAACGAAAAACGATTCGAAAAATGCGAAATCTTTGTAGTTTTATTTTGCAATTACCACAAATATAAAAATAATAATTTTGAAACATTGTACATCGTTTGATGAAAGTGTAAATTGTGTTGGCGGATATGTTAAAGACTGTGTGATATTAAAAAGGATAGTCTAGACAAAATTTTCATCTCCCTCTGCTTTGTATCGTGATTAGATGTAGTAATTGTCAATATGTTTTGGCAAGTTATAGTTTTCAAAAATATCAGAATCACCTTGGAAATGTTTCTTATTATTTTTTTTTAATAATACTTTTAATTATATCAACAAAATTATAACATATAACTTTTTGCATGTATTTATTATTATTTTTAATTGTTTTCTTATTTAATTCTGTAATCAATCAATTTACAATCTGGATTATGCTTTGAATGGTTTTCTTTTTCTGAAAAAAAAAAAGATAATTTTTTACAAAATATTCCTCAAGACCATAATTGTAAATAATGATGTTTAATGTTTCTTTATTTTTTCACGATTGTCTTGTAAATATTGATATTTTTCTATATGAGGGGAAAGTAAATATATTGACAGTTACAAACTTGTAAAATTGTAATAAATTTTGTTTATGTCTCTTTCTTAAATGGTTCGATACACTTTTCTTATTGGAAAAAAATTTCCCAAACTTGATAAAAATTATGTATGTGTAAATAAAACATTAAAATAAAAATCAATCAAAAACTTTCATAATCAACAGCACTTGCTACATTGCTTTAATTACTTTATATTTGTATTAAATGTACATAATTTCTTTTATTATCATTATTAAATAATGTGTAATTATGTTATGTATTTATGATAACGAACAATTTACTAATTGTGTAGTGCCATGTGGACCTTACATGTTGCAAATAAATGTCTACAAATTAATTGTTTGGATTCTTTTTTTCCATTGGTACCATATTCACATTTTATAAAAGTTTCAAAAGAGCAAAGTGTGGGTGTCAAACTAAAGTTAAATATTGCGAGATTTCTCTGTATGGTCTGTGGAGTGATGAACCTGTAATTTTTGTCGTTACGGTCATCCTGGTCTGCCTGTTATCTACGATCAAATAAAAGCCCTGACAAAGGTAACCTGACGTACACACTCTTCACGTTTCGTATAAAATCCCACTGACTGAATATGACAAAATGCTAAAATGCATCCGACACTCCAACACAGCGAGGGTAGACCAGGATGATGAAATGGCTGAATGCAGTATCATTTGGATTTTCCGCTAAACGACAACCGATTATACAAAAACCGATTCATTAAAAATTGAGTGTTTTCTCTACAACTATACAATTACCAACAGAATATTTTTAGACAAGCCATCAGGAAAAGCAGTTAGGGCAACCTTAACCATTTTTCAGGCAACGAGGGAACAAATCATTGATTTAAAGTACAAAAAGGACAGGACCCAAAACAGACCCTTGAGGTATTCCGTTTTCAATGATTTTTTTGTACTGGTTACCTGTCTTTAAGTACTGGCTTTGCTTTGTAAAATAAAGTTGGAACCAGTGTAAGGAGAATCAAATGATCCTCAAATATAGTTTTTTTTTATTAGTAATCAATCTTCACGTCAACCGTGCTTGTTAAACCAAAAATAGGTCTGATACTTTTCTATCAGTATTCATATCGTGATAGGAGTGAAATAAAACTAAGTGCATTTTCAGTGATCTTTTCTCTTTGGAACCAATTGCTTGCAGTTTATATTATATTTTAGCAAAAAGGAAATAAGCCTGTTGACAGTAATGCAATAGGTCTATACTTTTTTTTTTGTTTGCTTATGTCTAACACCTCCTTTTTTATGGATAGGTATTACAACTTAATCTCCCTGGGTAATGTAAGTTTTGTGTCATAATGAACAACCAATATCATAATCATGCTTTGCTACTACAATCTATGTGGTCACCCCTCGTTTAAAGGCGGAAAGACACTACAAGTAATCTTGAAGTGATTCTATTAAGAAGATTAAAAATATACAAATATTTGCTATCAAACACAAATATTTTATTATTGCTACAATTTCAGTTTTAAAATACATTAGAGCACTCAATAAAGAATTAATTAGACCTTGAGTATAAAATGCCAAACACCAAATTAAAACTCAATTTTTCCTTTGCTATTAAAATTATGAAACTAGTGGAACAATAAAAATATATTGAGATTAATGATGAAATAAATTGTAGTTATATAAAAATGATAACGTAGGTTATGAGCTAATAGAATAATAAAGTAAATTGAGGTGAACAATGGTGTGAAAAGCTAAAAGTTCAGAGTCCCTGATACACCTAGAGCTGGGAACAGACTTACCCGATGCAACGCTACGACGCTACCCGATGCTACCCGACGCCTTGTCACGTTTTGGTAGGGTGTGCACATCTATGAGATGTCAAGCGCACCCCACGTACAGTCACACAGCGTTTATCACAAATCAGTATCACAATCGCGACGCCTCTTTTCTTCTTAACGCATTATTTCGAGCAAGGTCTGGCACGAAGGACTCATTAGTAAAGTAAAAGGTATGCTACCAAAGCAGTATGTCGATATTATCAGTTCCTACCTAACTGACAGACTGTTTAGAGTCAAACAAGAATATCAATATTCAAAATTAAAAACAATAAATGCAGGAGTGCCACAAGGTAGCATATTAGGTCCACTGCTTTACTTGTTATACACCAGTGATTTTCTGAAAATAGATGGAGTAAAAATTGCAATTTGCAGATGACACAGCGGTGATATCACTAGGACGGACTATCACCCATTCAACCAAACTCCTCCAAAATGCATGTAATAAGATAAACGAATGGACAAAAAAATGGAAAATCAAGCTAAATCAGCATAAATCAGTCCATCTAATCTTTACAAACAAAAAGGTGGACCATGTTCCGTCGCTCACAATCGATGGAACTACTATACCATACAGCAATACAGCTAAATATCTGGGAATGACCTTAGATGCCAAGCTGAGATGGAAAGAACATGTGAAGAAAAAAAGGACAGAAATAGGTTTAAGGTATAGGCAACTAACTATACTGGTTGATAAGACGTGGCTCTAATCTTGCTATACAAAATAAAATATTATTATATAAACAAGTCATAGAGCCTATGTGGACATATGGTATCAACTATGGGGTTGTACCAAACACAGCAATATCAAAATCATACAAACACTCCAAAATAAAATCTTACGTAACATGGTCAATGCACCTTGGTACATAAGGAATAAGGACTTACATAGGGATCTTAAGATCCCTGAAGTCACGGCGGAAATACAACGATTTGCCGCCAAACACCAGGCTCGCCTCAGCCAGCACGAGAATGTGGAAGCGACCAAACTCTTACATAACCGA